GTTCCAGTAAGAAAGAATGCATCATTTTAGTTTAACCTATTTGTAGTCATTATATAGTAACGTCAACCCTTTGGAATTTTCCAAAATGGCAGGGTTTTTTCCTGAAGGTTGGTAAGATTATATTTAGTTTATTTCACATTTCTCTGTTCCACTGTTCTTGCCATTTATTTTGCAGATTCTTATTTAAGATTTTTAAATGGCAGACACAAAAGGAAATTAGAGCATTTCCTAAACAAGGCAGTAAAGAAAAGCAAGAAGAAAGGACTAACCATCAACTGTAAAAAGACAATGAATGGTTGTTAGCAGGAGAAAAAGCCCAACTGCAAATTGGAGAGGTCGACATCAAACAAGTGTAGAAGTCTAAATATCTGGGAAGTGTTTTAACAGGGGATGGAAAATGTGACACTAAAATCTGAAAACACATTAGAATAGCAAAAATGACTTCCAAATTCTAAGTAAAATATTAAAAAACAGGAAAAATTCATTAGAAACAAAGAAAATAGTACTGAATTGCTATGCAATATCAATCCTCCTATATGGCAATGAATGCTGGACAATCTTATCACAGATGCAGAGAAAACTAGAGATATCAGAAATGTGTTTCTACAGAAGGATGCTGAGAATAGCATGGATAGAGTGTGTAAGCAAAAAAGAAGTCTCAAGAAAAATGGAAATAAAAAGGACACTTATGACTGAAACTTCTTTGACACATAAAATAATTTTTAAGTAGCACTTAGCTTTTCTTTTAATTATTTGTAGATTAAGAATTTTATCTAAGCAAGGTAGCATGTAAGATAACTATAGATCTTTAGATACTTCTATGCTAATCTATGAAGTAGGTGCCTCCACAGATTGACTAAAAAGTGAGCATACATAATGAAAAAAAAACCCAAACTTAATAAAAACAAAGTTTCGTCAAAATTTTTGTTATTAAGAGGAAAAACCAAGGGATTTTTTAATTATTAAATTATTTTTTTTTTTTACCTTTTTAGAATGTTAGAAATTTTGTTTTCTACCGTCAGTGGGAGACCATAAATTAGTACAGAAAATTTTAGCATTCTTTTTTTGTTTGCAATGAAAAAACACACTGATTTGGAAAATCTTGCAAAAAACAAATAATTGTCAGATTTTAATGAAGTTTTCAGGACTTATTCGAAAATGAATAAAATTATTTTAGAAATGTTTCTTTTTTAGAAAATCTTGATAAAAACTTTTTTTTTTTTAATCTGTTAACACACAAAAAGCTATGGAAGTAAACCCTGACATAAGACCCAGAGTGGAGCCCAAAAGGTAGTTGGCTGTCAACACTGACAACTTTCAGGCCACTTCTGCAGCCAAACCAGCTGCTGTATTCCTTTAGATCTTGTCAATATGGTCAAGAATGGGAGGGTCAGGTAGTCTCTGCAGAGCACAGCCTCCATATAGCTGTGTCCTGGAGAGATCACCCCAGTTTTGCTACCAAGGGATTGAATTTTGATCAAACAGAGCAGTACCTTTATCTCACAATATAAACAGATGCCTACAATACCAAGATATCACAACACAACCACAAATTTTAATTTGTACTGGTTGGAATTTATTTGTACAATTTAATCTTTTTTTTTTTTTTTTTTTTTAAATAGTGGAAAATTTCAACTTCACCTTTTTAATTCATTAATGCTCACTATAAAATCTGTTAATTACACTTGAGTTTCAAATAGAGGAAGTGGTTGGAATAAAAGGGATGGAAAAAATTTTTCTTTAATTTTAAGTAATGAAACATTTTATCTTAGAGTGCTTGTCGGTTAATTTAAGGAGTATTGATTCATTTTTTACGGTTTGTAAATCCATTACAAGGTTATTTAAAGTCAGAAAATATTTTTAGGTTCTAAGAATTTTTGGAGGGAGAAAATAATGATTAAGTGATATAAGTCTAATAAGTTGCTGGTTGGGAGATTTGCAACTTGGGTTATATATTATAGGATTATAAATATAATATATATTAATTACTAGCAGTAGAGGCCGGCGTTGCCCGGAGATGTAACAGTAAGAGATAGATCAAGTATCGACCATCATAATGACTGAAAAATAAAATTGACAAAGATTATTGTTTAAGGTTGACGGACACGCATGTCTTCATTAGTTTTTGTTTTTTTTACGAATTGGTCAAACCCAAACTCAAACAAAAACATTGTTTTCAATCGTTATGAGTCTACCGATTGAATAGAATTTATTATAAACAATTGTCTTGTAAATGGAATTTTTAAAGCATTCTGAATGTAAAAATAAAGAAAAAAGTGTGCAAGACAATAAGAAACACTAAAAAAAAAAAAAAAAAAAAAAAAAAAAAAAAAAAAAAAAGGTGAAGTTTTGTTGAAATCGGTTGAAAAATGTAGAAAAACGGATCCCATATATAAAAAACACACACACACAAACAACCTGGGTTTTATAATAAGTATAACTTGATATGAGTTGTCCCCTTTCATTCTATAATACCTCTTAATCGTGTTTTCAAATTGATTTTGTGCAAAAACAATTGTTTTTCCAATTTTGGCGCTGTCAGAACCACATAAAGGTAATTTTACGTAGTCCTGTGAAGTTTTATTGAAATCGGTTGAAAAATGTAGGAAATCCGATCCAATATATAAATGTACAGACACACACACATAACCTGGGTTTTATAATAAGTATTATAAAATTTATAATAAGTATGTTTCTAGTTATAACCCATTCATGCCTCCTATCAAAAAATATGTCGGTAGGCATTATGATGTACTAACATCCTTTGTTTTGCAAATAATTCTAACAATGCAATATTCTTTTATTTTTTTGTTGTCTAATGTTAAAAATTTATGCATGCATTGATGCATAAAAATTGAACTAAAACTTACATAGACTGATGCAGATTGCCAGCTGTTGCAAGTAATTTTATTCAAAAGACAACTATAATAGATTTCTTTATATCTACATGAATTTCTGTTCTGAATTTAACTAGTTATAGGATTGGCAAAAAAAAAAAAAAAAAAAAAAGATTCTCCTTTCATTATCTCATGTTGATTTATTTTTATCTGGTTAAATTTTTTGTCTCATTTTTTGTTTAACTCTAAAAAGAAAGAGCAATACCAATGAAAAAGTATGTATACCTAGGTTTTATAAATTATACAAAAGTGTTTGATAAAGTATGTCACAAAGAACTGTTTGAACTACTAGGTAAGCTTAATTTATTTGGGAAAGATATTTGAATAATATATAACTTATACCGAGAGCAAATCTCCTGCATATGGATAGAAAATGAATTCAGTAAATACACAAAAATAGAAATGGGAATAAGACAAAGACGTGTCTTCTCACCAGACTTAGTCAACCTTTACAGTGAGGCAATCCTGAAAAAATTAGAAGTTCTACCAGGATTTATTATTGGTGAATACAATCTTGACAACACAAAATATACAGATAATAGTGTTAATAAGACATGGAAAAGGAACTAGAGGAACATCTACAGAAAATAGTAAAGAAAAGCGAGAAGAAAGACTAAACATCAATTGTAGGATAGAATGCGAGATCTCAGCAAAAGGAAGAGTCCAAAATGTGGATTACAAATTGGATATACCAAAATAAAGTACAAAAATTTAAATATCTAGGAAGTGTTTTAATAGACATCAAAATGCAACATCAAAATCTCAAGGTACATTGGGATATCTAAAGGTGTCTTCCAAAAGCTAAGTAAAGTATAAAGAAACAAGAAAATGATGTTAGAAACAAAGAAAAAAGTACTGAACTCTTATGTAATATCTGTCTTCCTATGGCAGTGAATACCAGACAATCTGTTCACAAATGAAAAAGATACTTGAGGCAATAGAAATGTAGTTCTACAGCAGAATGCTGAGAATACCATGGTCTGAACATGTGAGTAATAAAAATATTTTAGTGAAAATGGAAACAAAAAGCACACTTAGAATCAGAAAGAGACAATTGAAATTTCTTGAGTACATGAAAAAAGAGGGCTTGGAAAATTTGACATGTGCAGGGCATACTGAAAGCAAGCAGATGATAACCTACCTAACAAGCTTATGTAAATGGTTCACAGAATAGGGATTAGGAGAGATAGCAAAAAGATAAAACTTACAAAGGACAGGAAGTTGAGGCGAGCCATGATTGCTCACATACTTAAGAGACACAGCACATAGAAGTTCATCTACTACATTGTGCCACTATTGCTTTTTTTGTTGATTGGTTGATATTGCATACAAACTCAGTCTGAGGTTGACTGTAGAAAATTGTGAGATCAGTGCACTTTCAATGTATTTTCTTCAACCTAGTAAATTCTTTTCTTTTCTGATCAGACTAGCATTTATTAACTCAAAATTGTGGTCAGGTGTGTTATGGTGTTGTGCATTTAGTGTTGTTATGCAATAGAACCCTGTAATGCTCACACTTTTTTTTTTTGAGATTTCTAGATGTTTGCCAATGTATATCATTGGATATCTTGTGCAATTTAGTGTTGTTGCTATTCTGTTTGGTGCTGACCATATCTTATTCTTTTAGAAGTGGTGTTTTAACCGTGTTACTAACCCTCAGGGAAAACCTGTATTATTAATAACAAATAAATGCCCCCCCTCTCCAAATGCATATAAGATTTACTTATATCAACTTATAGGTGCAGAACAAATTAAAAATATATGGTTTAATTTTGGTTTGATGTCTTGATGGATTCATTTGCTACAGCTTATCAACCCTTTGTGGGCTATTTAAAGCCAGAAAATATTTGTAGATTGTAAAAATTATTTGGGGAGGGATTATAATTATTTAGTGAAACAAAAGCCAGAAAATATTTGTAGATTGTAAGAATTATTGGGGGGCAGATAATAATGATTTTGTGAAGCAAGTCTTACTATTAAGCCATAGCATTAAAGACAAGGGTATTTAATTTATATGTAAGTGAATATAACAAACCTAACTGGAATTTGCTCTCCGATTAACAATTCCAAGCCATTACCCATTACAGCACCCATACATTCAAGCTTACAGTACTTGGTATTCCCAAGTGATCACCCATCTAGGTACTGACCAGGCTTGACATTGCTTAACTTCAGTGATTGCACAGGAACCAATGTTTCAATAAGCCATTTTGATTTGATTATTTGAATAAAAGAAAATACACTGCTATTAAACAGAAATGAGAAACATCTTCATTTCACTTCTTTCTGTTTTCATTAATATAAATCTCAAATCTGTTTTTCCCAGCAAACCAACTTTCCATGAAATGAAAAATTGATCCTCCCTTGTTTGCATTTCCAAAAACTTCATTTAATACTATTTGTCAAAAAACAAATCACCTTGGCTTAATATCTTTTCAAATGTTCACTGAAGAATTTTTGACATTTCAGGAACTGTCATGGTTTCTAAGCAACAATCTATTGTTCCATTTGTGAATACAGGTGTTCGTCACAATCATTACTCACAAAAGTTTAAGAATTATAATATACTTCGAGGGGCTCAAAATATCTTCGCAAATAAACGTTTTGTTCATTCTTGTTTGAAAATGTATTATTCCAATTTTATCACTAAACGTTATTTCTAGTGGAAACCCATATTTGAGCAGATGCACTATTTATTTTAAACAGTATATTAATTTTCATCCACTGACTTTTAGATCGACACTGCCATGAAGGACGTTGCTGATCAAGCTAGGCCAAATAGTGTCTAAGCACAAATCCATCTCAAGCCAGATTCTTAAAAGTTTACAGCTGCTCAGTTCTGTATCCAAATGTAAACAATTTTTAAGGAAGTAATGGATTTTTTTTGTTAATCTGACAGATTAAAGTGATAAAAATTTGTTGGATTAATAAATCCATTGCCTCTTTAGAAATTGTTTTAATTTTATAATTTGTAAACAATAAACAGAATCATTGCAAGTTAAAAAAAGTGTCACAATTGCTTTACATAAGCAATTTTTAAATAAGCATTCCACTAAAAGGTCCCATTTTCTAAATAAGTACTTGGGTGCTTAGAGGAAATACATTATTTGAATAACTGTAACAGGTTGGCCTAACCAGAAAGACTTTTGAGATTGTTGGCTACAAGTTCAAATTTTATCAGTGATGTTCTTTTTAAACTACACAGCCAACAATCAATTTGGCAGTATTTTGTTATTTTTTTAATCATTTCACCCCAAGCAAGGCAATAAAGCCATTAGGACACAAGAGGTTACTGAGAAAAACTACTATTAAGGAGAGAGGGCAATAAAAGAATAAGAATTAAGAAGACTGAAGATAGCAATTGACATTTAAATTTTTGAAGATCAAAGTTGACAGGGAAACAAGAAGCTGGAAGAGTCCCACAAGTGAGTAGTGCGATAGAAGAATCTGTTAGCATAGAACTTGCAGTTACATTCAAATAAATGAATAAATGTTGCAATAAAAACAACAGAAATAAAACGAAAGTACTAGTCAAAATTAAGAATAACTGTGGCATTTAAAAATTAAAATAATATTACAAATGAATGTTGACCATTATAGGACAGTGCTTTCATGCTCAGAATATATTTCTGCCATTTTGGATAATATCAAGATATTTGTCCCAAGATATGCATATAAATTTAAGCTGCTTTCAACAAATATTGATCAGGAAAGCTGAATAAATATCCAATTGACTTTTGAACCGAGATGACAGGTAACAGAAATGTTTTTTGCTATAATTAAATAAAAAAAAATAATTTATTTAAATTAATTACATTCAGACTAATATCCTTATCTTTATTATTATAACATTTTGAGTGTTGTGGCCTCTAACCTTCATCAGGTAACCTTCAGGAAAATTTTGAAGTGAATCCTTGATTTAACCTACAGGGGTAGATTGTTCTCATTTCACTGTCCATGTTTAGGGATATATCCTCTTGTTTTTTTTTAGTATTGTGTTAAGAGAATCTATTTTTATGAAAGAAACTTGAGTTCTGGGTCATTTAAATAAAAGACTTCAAAGGGCTCGTTGATGCATTTGGATGATCTTACAAGTAGAAGTCTTTCATCTGGGTTTTCATATTCATTGGTTGGCCCAAAAATGAAGTGAGTTGGCTGACAAAGTCAGTTGTAGAAATCTGCTTCAGAGCAGTGCATTTAATATCATTTACTAACCTGACATGTAACCTATACCACAAAAATCCAGCAACTCTTGACTGAAGTTACTTTGTTGAAGTATTTTTATCTTCTTGCTGGTAAACCTTTATTTTGTCCTTTTTAGCCACTGACCATAATCACTAAAATTATAATAAAACTTTTTTTTTTGTTTACAATAAAACTTAGTTGGTCTTCTTGTCGTTCCCTTTACTTCTCTTTATCTTATTTCTGTCACACACATAACAATTGCTAGACATGGACAGCAAAATAAGAACAACCCCATATATCAAATAAAGGGTTCAGTTTGAAATTTTCTGAAGGTTACCAGAATTGATAAGAAGAAGGCTAGAGAACACAACAGACAAAACCGAGTAACAAAAATGAGGACATTAGTCTGAATTTCAATAATGATAATCCCTCATCCCAGAAATTCACACACAATTTTTTTTTTCAAAATCTAATTAAATAATCATTAAATTAAATAATTATCAGTAAATTCTATATTTCAATAACTTTTGGTTTTTTACAGTTTAAATTTTTTCCTAAGTAGATATTGATCCTGTCACCAAAATTTTGAATGAACAATTGAACACCTATCATTAACTGTTTCTTTATATGTTTTTGAAGGTCTTGGCAATTTTTATATAGGTTTTTCATTCTTAACAGAAATTTAAAAAATGACAATAACAATCTAGGCAGCCCCTCACTTAGCTTCACCATTACAGTGGATAAAATATCACTATTTTGCTGGCCTATTCTCATCATACAAATACAGGTCAGCATATAGTTATTGCTAGAACAGTCCTTGAAACTGCTGAAAATGCCATTAAAACTACTTCATGAACAGCAAGTGTACAAATAAAAGATAGTCTATGAAACTGATCAATACATGAACAATATTTACAAGTTACAATCATTCATAGTATATGAATATACACAAACATCATAGCCACAACTTGTGCTCATACTTCCAGCTATAACAACAAAGAGGATGACTACATATGGCTTTCTTTGAGATAAACAACTGTCACAGCAGGGTAGACTGGGTTCTCTAGCCTTAATTGGCAGTCAGTCTATGAGAAGGAAAATTGAAGGCAACAAGAAACCATTCCAATATCTTTCCCAAGAACTCATGTTAATTCACAAATATTAAATAAAATGAATCTATGGAGATTCATGATTGCTTACACCCTGAAGGAACATGGCATAAAAAAAAAAAAAAAAAAAAAAAAAAAAATCAAAAAAAAAAAATCAAACAGCAAGTTTACAAATAAAAGAGTCTACAGAATTAAACAATATTTGCAAGTTACAAATTATACACAAACATCATATATACAACTTGTACTAATGTTTCCAGTTATGACAACAAAGACAGTGGCTTTCTTCTTGATATACATCTGTCAGAGATTCATCTATAGTGATGAACTAAAACTTTAATAACAATTATCTCCATATATTCTGACAACAAAATAACTTACATACTAAAAATTTGCTTTTCTTTCAGAATTTATTTATATATAAGGGTCAACTGGGACAGGGTACCAAAATTCAAGAATTCATGAAAACCATAATAGTTTTGAAGAAAATTCCCGATATCACTACTCTGTCTGGGAATTTGGTATTTTTGTATAACTGTATCAAATATTTCACAGATATTTCATTGACTTATTACATCGGATATTTAAGTGTTGCATTCTGATGTCTAATAGGGTTGTGCTATTTAAGCAAAACAAGCTTATAGTTATTGAGGTAACAAGTAAGGTACCAAATCTATGTCTGGTGGAATTCTGGAAAATGACCAATGAATACTTAGTTACATTACTTATATGCAGACTATCGTCCTCATCCTTGTTGCCATCACAATGCTTCAGCTGTTGTGCACTTTGGCCTTCATCAGATGCTTGACAATCTGGATAAACTTCAGAAAATTTCAAACTGAACCCTTATTTAATTTATGGAGGTAGATTTTCTTGTTTTGTTTTGATTTATTGCTCGCCCCATTTTTACAGAGTCCAAATACGCACTACCTGGCCCAGGTATTGAATTCACAATTATTATTATTAAATTATTTTAGGGATATTATCCAAGCAGCATAAAGTCTGTTCATTCCTAAATTACTGACAAGTATTCAGCAGGTAACTGAAAATTCTCCCATCTAGAGAAAAACAACTGGCTTAAATTGAGCAACTTGGGATGAACCCATCTGAACCATCAGAAGAGACAGGTTAATCCAAAAAAGCATTAGTTTTTATAATCAGGAGGATGTAAGTTCAATCCCTATGCTGGGTAACAAACATTGTCCCTAGAATGGAACTTAACTCTGTAACTAAATTCACAAACCAACATTTTAATAATTTATATATGAATTTATAGTCCTCATCTTTTATGTCATTATCCCAATGTTTCAGCTGCTGTGCCTGCTGGCCTTCATCAGAGTGTGTTTGTTGATCTGGGTAACCTTCAGGGAATTTTGAACTGAACACTTTATTTAATCAATGGGAGTAGATTGTTCTCTTTCCACTGACCATGTCTCTCTCATTTAGTACTTGATTAGTTCATCAGGTTAAGGGTAGCATAAATATAAAAAAAAAAAAAAAAAAAAAAAAAAATAGAGAATGAGAATATATATATATATATATATATATATATATATATATATATATATATATATATATATATATATTTTATTACTTAAACGTTATTTTTTTTTAGTGAATGTGTCAGCCCAAATATGGGTATTCACTAAGTTTTATTGATGAAACAGTGTATTTATTTATTTTCATCTACTGGCCTGAATATTCAAGAAAACCATATGCTCTCTGGCATGATTCAAACCTGCATCCCTACTTGGCCAAGATAGTCCAAAGCATGTCGGATCTAATGACAGTTTCTGTCAAGAGATCCGAATCCTGCTGGATATATATATATATATATATATATATTTTCATGAATTATTCATACAAAAAACAAATACAAAGGTTAATGATTTAATTGGCGAGAAATCCATCACCGCAAACAATTCAAATAATATACAAAAACCCCGAACCTGTTTATGAATGAAAAGATCCTTGTTTTATAAATTTCTGTTGCATAAGTTCTTATTATTTTTACAAGCTTTCGTCTGTTCCTACAGACATCCTCAGGTATGGAATAGATTTTGTTCTTGTTTTTACTCTCAGTAATATATATTACACACACACATGCACACACACACTAATGCAACCAAGTTTGCCAGATCTTGCCTGTTCATATTCCCTTTCAACTGTGAGGGAGGTGTTTCTGGCCAAGTGTGTGAGCTTCTCCATTGCGCAGAGTTATTCACCAAAACCAAATACACACAAAAAATGACCTTGCCAAATTCTCTCTGATTCACTGCCATCTCCACTAACGCCTTAACCAGGGGGGAGAAAGAGAATAAGGAGGGAGGATGATGATGATCCCGATGCATGCAGGTGCCAACAAGGATACACACACAATTTTTTTTTGTACAGACACATATACATGTAGAAAAAAAATTATGTATATAGTGAGTGATTGATTTATCGATTACAATGTGTGTATACAATGAAAGTCACTTGAAATAAAAAAAAATAAAAAAAATTTTAAGCAAGTTTCCCCCAAGCAAGTTAGTAAAGGTAAAGCCATAAAGTCACAAGAGGGTTACTGTGTGCGGAAGAATTAGAAAACAAACATTACTAAGGAGTGGGAACAAATGAAAATTAATCAGGAGGATAGTAGATAGCAATTGACATTGAATCTAAACTTTTGAAGATTAAAGTTGACTGGAAAGCAAGGAAGCAGAAGAGAGTACCTCAAGTGGGAATAGAAACTTATCATAGAACTTATGGTTACATCTAGCCATCTCAACTATAAATCGACGAGAGCTTGATACCAGTCTAGTACTGTGTTTAAATTAATAAAATCTAGGTACCCTAAAAAAGAGCGATATTTATTTAGCATAAAAAAATGTAGCAAAAGGCCAAAAAGAGGGGATGGGGAAAGGATAGTACTCTCCTGTCTTATAATTAAACTTAGCTAGCCCCAATCACTGGCCCAAACATACCACAGTATTCCTTACACCTGGACAACACATTCTTACTATTCTTACTATATCTGCCATAATACCTCAGAATCTCCATGAAGTCTTAACTAGTGCCCATATGTACAATTTATGTCTGTTGCGGTAGGGGAATAAAACAACAATAGCAAAGAGCCCATCTAAACAACGAACCATGAAAGTATTTATAGAAAATACACAGGGGAGTAACTTTACTATAGTGGGAAAGATTATTATTATTTCAGTGTGTGAAACATTAGCAAATTTTTTTAATTATCTTTTAGTTTAGCCTTCCAAAATGATTTTGTTATATCAAATATTGAATTACCGTACAGCTACACTGTTTTACCATACTTCATATTCTGAACACACATTTTAAAATTCAAGAACAAGACATGGAGAGACTTTGGAAAATCAGTGTAGAATAAATATAACTGAATATTTTCATGGGGAATATATATTTCTTATAGATATAATAAATTACATGGTATTTTAGAAGTTTTTTTTTTTTAATTTCTCAAGCCTCGATAGAGTCCAAAAGTGTCCCCGAGTCCTTGGAGGTCACAAATTATTTTCCACCCTCCAAGCTTCTTGCTGCTCTATCACTACTTTTTCCTGGAAAGTGTTCAGACAAACTAAATTCCTTGGTTCCGCCAGTTTTAACCATCATAGCAAAGACCCACTATGCCACTTACATTATAGCAAACCATAGCAGCCTACATTCCTTCTATATTTGGTGAGAAGTTCCACTTGAACAGGTTCTTCCAGTGAACCACTGCTCTGTGGAACCGACTCCCAAGAGGATGTTTCCCCGATCACTACAATCTTAACCTGCTCAAATCTAGGATTAACCATTATTTTCCCCCCACCTATCTATTCAAACTGCCTCCTAATGTAATCTTTTCTCTCGAGTGGCCCCTGGGCCTTGTACAGGGGCGAACATTACTGTTTAAAAAAAAAAAAAAATGAATTGAAATATGATCTGGCGTTCTTTAGAACGCCAGATCATATTTCAATTCATTTTTTTAATTTTATTTAAATCTTATTTTGAAAAGTTTAAGTCATATTAGTCCCAAATTCTAGAATATATTTTGATTTTCATTATTTATGATGGCGGTGCTCAGAATACAAAAAGGAAAGTAATTATTTGCCACACAATAATTGTTTCTGAAGCCAAACTCAAAGATGCTAAACTTACTTTTTACTTATACAAAAAGTAAAAAGTAAGTTTATGAACAATTAAACTATTTTGATTTGCCACTTCTGACAAGTAAGCATTTATATTGTCTGCTTAAGTGTTCATACCAAATTCATGTAAGGGCACTTTGACATGGTGTAAATAGTTTTAGCAAGCTTGTCTCGCTAGATCAGTTACAACTAAATAGCAAATTTGATCTTCACTGGGTGCCCCATATTTTTGGCCTTGTGCCACATCTAAGTTACACTTATAAAATCACCACACCAAATTCATGTGTGCGTATATTAAGGCAAAACGTGTAATGCAGACGTTTTCCCACTTCTATTTTGTCATTCAATTACCCTCCATTTGTCTGATATAAATTTGTATGTGTGTACACACACACACACAATTCCTCTTTTAGATACAATTATTCACTTTTCAACAGTTGAGGGAAGAGAAAAATATTTAATTTACTGTTCTGCTTCTTAGATGTTGTTAAATAAAACAAGACAATAATTCTTTCAAGTTTCAATGATCACACTAAGATTTTCATACAATATGACCATTGGATTACTTTTTTTTTTACATGTTCAAAGTAATGAGCATTTCGCTGTGGGATTTTTGTTTTGTAAGAAAGCAGTTCAAAGTAAAATACACAGATAAAAAGGCTTCGTGTTGACATAACATACTGTATATAATGCAAGTTTTTATGAGCATTTTTTTTTTTACGCAATAAAATAGGTGTATAGTACACAGGTAATTTTTTTACAAATTTGAAAAAAATCATGCATTTTCGGTGGCGGGTTGCGCCATGCACAGGTAATTTTTTTCTGAGAAGGGGTAAAATTCATGCAAAACAATTCAAGGGTCGCACTAAGTCGACTTATACACGAGTTTATACAGTATTCGGGTGTTAGACCATCGACAATTTAACTCTAAGTTTGAATTTAACTGAAATCATCAAGTGGCTGTTTTGAATTAAATTAAGATCAGTTCCCTTTTAGACTAAAAGTTTTAGTGGACCCCAAATATTTCTTCTGCCTCATAGATGTTTTAGTTTTACTGTTTTATAGTGGATTCTGTGTATGTAAATAAATACTAATTATAGAACAGGTAGTATTTATTTATTTCGGGTTTAACAAACACAACGAATCAAAATTGGGATAAATTTTGAATTAGTTGGAAGTTGTGAATCCCTTCTGTTTTTTTTTTGGGGGGGTGCTGAAAGAACCACTTAGTCGACATGTACGAATTAAAAAATATATATTTTTTAATAATAATAATAAACTTTTTACTTTTAGTTTTATTTATTTTAAAATTACCTCCATTCTCGCTATCGGCTATCATTTTTTTTACCCTACTTACATTTTAAGTTAAAATAGAAAAACAACGTAATTTTTTTTAAGCGACAAATTATAGCCAGTTTTTTTTTTTTGTTTGTTATTTTTTTTAACTTTGTCATTTTTTTTTTGAGTGAAAGAAAAAAAAAGTTTGATAATAACTTATCTAATTTGTTTAAGAATTTATTCTAGGTTCCTTATCGTTTTAATTTTTATATAATTTTTTTTTTCTCTTTCCCTCAAATAACTGAAACAGTGAAACATTTTCAACGGTGGGATTTTTTTTAAGATCAATACTAAAGAAAAACAAAAGAAAAAGGAAACATTTAATTTTAAAAAAATGTACAAGAATAATAAAAATACTTACAATTGCTGAAAATGCCTTTTGCATGTTATAAAATGGGGAAAAATCCAAAACAATGTTCATGTGGAGAAAAGTTGAAACTAAAAAACAGAAGTTTTCTTTTCTTTTCTTTTTTAAGGGGAGGTGAGATTTACAAGCCGCAAAAAAAAGGGACTTTTTAGTCCTTTCTGTTTTCTTTCGCTCTTTCTCTACAAATGCGGATTTTAGAAATATACCACAGGCCAGTAGTAAATAAATTACATCACAATATTAATAATTTGTTTTCTAAAGAACAGAGGCTCCTTGTTTCAATTCCTGTTTCAAAATGTTTCTCCATAATTTTCATCCTTGTTTTCACAGGAAACGTCACCCGCTCACATGGAAATAAAGAAAGCTCCTTCCAAAAATAAAAAAAGGCTAAGATAAGACGAAAGACTAAAAACATTCACGCCATCATCGAGTGGCAGGTCGGAAACAAATGCAGCCACGCATTTAAAATAAACATCAACAACAAAATAACGTTCTGCCTGGACGGAGACGACAAAACATTATCAGCCAGCCATGTCAAGTCGCCATATCTTTAAACAAAGAGTTATCTACCCTTGGAATTGAACGACTCAACCACAAGAAGGCGCCACCAACAAAAGTTGTTTTTTCCTTTACTCATACAGAATTTATTTATTTTATTAATCATTTTAGAAAAATGTGGCACAAGGCCAGATGACTTGGTGGTGTTCACTAAACTGGTCTATTCTCACTTACCTAATAACACTTACTAACACGGACGTACTTTATTTTTACAATATTTTCTTCCTTTATGCTGTGATCCTTAATAACGTGGGCAGTCATAGCTCTCCACAACTTCCTATTCCTTGTAGCTCTAAGCAATGTTTAATTCGTTATCATCCTTCCTTGTTCTTGCTCTACCATCCATTCACATAAAATTGTTCTCCCTGATCTTTTGAACAGGAGTAGACGTTTATCCTTGATTCCTGTTTAGGATTGAGTTTCCAGTTCCTTCTAAAGTTTATATACTCTATACTTGTAATGTCTCTACTTAAGGCCTGAAATTTTATTTACTATTTTTTTCTTTCCTTCAATAGGAGTAGATAGGTTTGCCTATCATTCCAGTTCACACTCTTCTATCATTTGAACAGAAGTATCCCTTGTTTCCTGTTTAGGATTGGGTTTCTGTTTCCTTCTAAAGTCTTTTTCATTCTCTTTCACTAACAGTAGCCCCTTGCATCTTAATGGAATTATCACCTTGCTTGGGGTGAATAGAGGAGTAGAGGTTTATCCCTTGTTTCCTGTTTAGGATTGGGTTTCTGGTTCCTTCTAAAGTCTTTTTCATTCTCTTTCACTCCCAGTAGCCCCTTGCATCTTAATGGAATTATCACCTTGCTTGGGGTGAATAGAGGAGTAGAGGTTTATCCCTTGTTTCCTGTTTAGGATTGGGTTTCTGGTTCCTTCTAAAGTCTTTTTCATTCTCTTTCACTCCCAGTAGCCCCTTGCATCTTAATGGAATTATCACCTTGCTTTGGGGTGAATAGAGGAGTAGAGGTTTATCCCTTGTTTCCTGTTTAGGATTGGGTTTCTGGTTCCTTCTAAAGTCTTTTTCATTCTCTTTCACTAACAGTAGCCCCTTGCATCTTAGTGGCATTATCACCTTGCATGGGGTGAATAGAGGAGTAGAGGTTTATCCCTTGTTTCCTGTTTAGGATTGGGTTTCTGGTTCCTTCTAAAGTCTTTTTCATTCTCTTTCAGTCTCAGTAGCCCCTTGCATCTTAGTGTCATTATCACCTTGCTTGGAGTGAATAGAGAAGTAGAGGTTTATCCCTTGTTTCCTGTTTAGGATTGGGTTTCTGGTTCCTTCTAAAGTCTTTTTCATTCTCTTTCACTCCCAGTAGCCCCTTGCATCTTAATGGAATTATCACCTTGCTTGGGGTGAATAGAGGAGTAGAGGTTTATCCCTTGTTTCCTGTTTAGGATTGGGTTTCTGGTTCCTTCTAAAGCCTTTTTCATTCTCTTTCACTCTCAGTAGCCCCTTGCATCTTAGTAGCATTATCACCTTGCTTGGGGTGAATAGAGGAGTAGAGGTTTATCCCTTGTTTCCTGTTTAGGATTGGGTTTCTGGTTCCTTCTAAAGTCTTTTTCATTCTCTTTCAGTCTCAGTAGCCCCTTGCATCTTAGTGACATTATCACCTTGCTTGGGGTGAATAGAGGAGTAGAGGTTTATCTCATGTTGCCTGTTTAGGATTGGGTTTCTGGTTCCTTCTGAAGTCTTTTTCATTCTCTTTCAGTCTCAGTAGCCCCTTGCATCTTAGTGGCATTATCACCTTGCTTGGGGTGAATAGAGGAGTAGAGGTTTATCTCATGTTTCCTGTTTAGGATTGGGTTTCTGGTCCCTTCTGAAGTCTACTTCAACTCTAAATGTCTAACCTATCTGCCTAAACCCTGAAATCTTATTTACTATTTATTTATAAATTTATTTGTTTAGTTAATAACTGCTGTATACAAAAATTTAACATTGATTAAACCAACATGTCATAAAATCAATTAACCTATTAAGCACATTGGCATGGTGTAATGGTTAGTGAGGCTAGTCTGATTAATAATTATTGTTGAATAGTGAGTTTGATCCTTATAAAAAAAATTCTATTCATAGTATAAAATAATTAAAAATAATAATTAATTCAAAAGGGGGAATAAATAAATATTAAATAGCCTAGGGTTGTTTTATTCACTTAGTTTTGGGAGAGGTGTATTTAAAAAAAAAGCCAGACAATTTATTAAAAATTGTTTCATTTTGTGTGTAAAGGTCTTTTTATTTAGAATTGGCTCAAAAGAGGACCACTAGAAATAACTGTCATGGCGGACTGTTGGGGATGCATTTTTTTAAATTCATTAAAAATGTATTACCCTTGTATTTTTTGTCTGATGAAAAGGGTGGCTTATGCCCCCGTAAGGTTATAGTTGAGGTCTGTTTGCGCCTCATTGGATAATTTAATATGGGCCAGAAGATGAACAGCAGACAGGATTAGACGTCAGCTGGGAGAAGGGAGGGAATTGTTACAGAGAAGGGACGAGGGTGGTTGGTTGACTGAGGAAAGATTTTAGGTTTCTGTTGTGTCGGAAACCTACCACCCCTCTTGAAGATGAACTTGTCTGCGTCTGTGAACAAAGACTTTAAATAGTGGCATGTCAGTTGACATGGGAAAGACAGATAGACAGAGAAGTTCTTAACTGAGCTAGTTATTGACTACTCAGGCGATTTCTGTACCTTTTTACCAACCTATTAAAACCCTTTTTATTGTTACGTGTTATTTGGAGTTTGTCTCTACTAACCCCAAATCAACATCATAACAGTTTCCTCATGTGAAAGTCACTAATGAAACAAAGAACTGAAAGGTTTTGTAATTCTTAAAAACTACATTGACAAAAGATATTTCACAATATCATAAAACTTCAGGGAGACTCTTGTGGGAAAAACAAAAGCCAAAGAAACATGTGGATCATCTGGGTCACACTTCTCCCTGGTCTTTTAAACAGGAGTAGAGGTTTATTTCTTGATTCCTATTTAGAATTGGGTTTTCAGTTCCTTCTATTTTTCTTGAGCCTACTTTTGGGAAAAAATTCTTGTAAGCCACAGATTTCAACTTTCACGGTCAGAAATGCAACTGTTTCCAAGCCTTTCAAACACAAGAGAAAACATAGCTACATTAGCATTTTCCTACCCGCTAGCACATACTGAAAGAAATTTGTGTCAGTGACCTCAAATGAATCATCTTCAACAACAACAGCTTGGATGGTCAGTGAATCTTTACTGAGGATGAAAGTCTTTTCTAAACTTCAGATTTTTCTGTGAACCCACTGCCCAAAAACTTTAATTCAACTAAAGACTATTTTTACTTCTTTTTAACTCTTTTGTAGTTATGTACATATGTTTGTAAATACAAATGATTTATTTAAACAGCATACCGTCCTAGGTATGATGATAAACTACATCCACGTCCTGGGTAAAATGATAAACTACGTCCAGCAGTAAGTCCTCTGATCAGGAGGTTTTGAGGAGCACAGAACCACCTCTTAATTGCTGATGTTCCCAGGTCCACCCTGACCCAGGGTGGTAGCACCTGTTAGGGTCCCAGCTATGGGCAAATAGTCAACTCCGAAACTGGGGTAAAACACTATGAAAGTGTAAAAACAGGTTTTAATACCAGAAATACTTTGTAAAAGAAATTATTTCCAGCAATAAATTTTTGACAAAAAAGCTATTACCAGCAATACATTTTTGAAAAAAAAATATTACCAGCTATACATTTTTGAGGAAAAAATATTATCAGCAATACTTTTTTTGAAAAACATTATTACCAGCAATACATTTTTTAAGGAAAAATATTACCAGAAATAGATTTTTTGACAAAACAAAATATTATCAGCAATAAAGATTTTGTCAGCATTAAATAACCCATTGAGGTTGATATGCCATAAAACAAAACAAACCTAAACAGCATACCCATGTTTTCTTTATTTTTATTTTATTATTGTTTGGAATTTTTCTTTAATATAAAAATCTGGACAACTGAATTTCCTATACTATCATTAGCTTCATATAGTATGGTCTTTGCAAGAGCTACATAATCCTTAAATTCAGAATTGAATTAATTTTTTAAATTCAGTGTTGTCCTAAACCCATAGTTGAGAGGGAGGTAAATGGATTTGTAATGATCATCATCATCACACACATACATATACACCTATACAAATTCAAATTTCAATAACAATCATTCATTGGATAGAAATCAACGCTACTATTTTATGCAACAATTTGAAAATCGCTATATTTTCATATAGTAGATTTTGTGTACTTTTGGGAGAATTGGCACCCAGAAATCTCCCCAAAGCTCATTCACTGATTGGTCGGTGTCGGCCAATCAGATTCTCTGCACGTGAAGAGTGATTCTTCCCACGCAGCACTTCTGATCCAATGACCACCTACCAATAGCAAACATGAGTTTGCCTTTTTCTTTTTTTTCTCTCTTCTTGCT